CAGTATTACTGATTAAACTTTAGCTTTAATAATATAAAGCTACATAATTTTAAAGTTTAATCAGTAATACTGATCAGTAATACCGTTATAACAAATTTATGCCAGATCATGATTTCTTGGTTAATGTCAAGTTATAATAACAAAGACATTATCGCATTATATCTCATTATAACAATGAGATATTATACAATCTCAATATAATGATAAACATTCTCATTGTATTGAGATAGTATCTATCTCATAAAGATGATTATAATGCTATAATAATAATAATTATTATTATTATTATTATTATTATTATTATTATTATTATTATTATTATTATTATATTGAGATAGTATCTCATTGTTATAATGAGATATAATACTATATCTCATTATGTAGATATGAGATACGACAACATAATATTTCATTATGAGACAGTAATCACAGTATCTCATATTGAGATAACTATCTCAAAATGAAATATATTGGTGGCATGGAGACCAATCGTCTAGCAGCGCCACTGTGGTGTATTGTAGGTCCGCTTGTCCTCTGACCTCTCAAGTTGTTTAGTGGCCCGACTTACGTGGCACCACTGCGGTTTATTGTAGGTCCGTTGCTGGGGGACCTCTGGTTGCTGGGGGACATCTGATTGCTGGGGGACATCTGGTTGCAGGGGGACATCTTGTTGCAGGGGGACCTTCGGTTGAGTGGAGACTTTTGAATTGTTTTTCAAATGACGTTCCAACTTCCTGTTCAGGTCTCCAACCAGAGCCTGCAAAGATGTGACTGTTTCCTCCAGTTTACAAACATGTTCTGATTGATTTTTCAGTTGTTCTTCATACTTCAATTTGATCGTGTATTCGTCCATTATGACTTCTATTAATCCTTTGTTTCTGGAGGCATATTTCTCTGCCTCCCTCTTAAAGTGGTCCAGCTCTTGAAGAATTCTATTGTCCGTTGTTACTTTGTAAGTAACAACGGACAACAACGATCCTCCTGTTTTGTCTAAACCGCTGATGTGTCTTTCTTGGGCTGGTGTGTTCTTCATCCGACGTTCTCTATCTAACATGTTCTTCAGGTTTTTAATTTCTTCCTGCTGGACTTGGACTTCTTTCTCTCTTGCAATCCGTTGCTCTCTTTCCTCTTCCAGCTCTTTTTTCAAGTCATCGATCTGCTTTGTCAAATCCCAGATATAATAAGTTGTTTCTTGCTCCTCGTGGTAGAATGATCTTGGACTATCAGTTGGTTCGTCTTCGGTCTCATTGGGGCATTCCTCTTCATCATCAAAATGAAGGACCGCGTCATAGTCAACCTGGATGTTTTGTTCTATCATCTCCATCCAGGAAAGCGCTGAGGAAAAATCTTCTTGTTGGTTCATGTTTATCATCAATTAAATTCTTGGTTATTTGAAAGGTTTGTAAGATCTGGAATTATATCCTCCAAGCTTCGATTAATTTCGAGCGTGCTTTTAAGAGTGATCTGTCGCGATAGAACTGTGGAACAGGTCTGAGAAAACACTGTCTGAGAGCTACAATCAAGAGAGAGATTCCTTTGTTGTATCACAGTGATGTCATAACCGCTGACGTCATAGAGAGCACTGGAACCGAACATGTTAATTCAACCTGCTGTTTGAAAAATGTCACACAGTAGCACTAATGACATAGATAGAGAATGATCCGGACTGTGCAGCTAAAAACAATGAATGAGACGTAGAGGAGGTGACCAATCCTCGGCATTAAGTTGGCAACATGTTGAAGATTGAAGGCTCACAGGTGAGCCAGAAGCCAGAACTGCTGACAGCACAGTAAACAGATATCATTAAAATGGTAAAGGAGCAGATATTGGAATGGAAATCAACTTGAACACAGAACCTGAAAATGCTAACTGCAGTGCTAACTGCTAAGAGAATTTAAAAATTGTACATTTACAGATATTTATGTAATATAGTTGAAATGGTTCAGGTTAAATTCTGCTAAAATGGGTTTCATAGTTGTCCTGTAATGAGTGGTTTTTGGCGCCCCCTACTGGTTGCCTTTAAAAGGAGGAGAAACTATAGATTCCACACAGTCTGTTGGGCGCTCTACTGTGGTCAGTCATCAAGTCTAGTTCTTTTCTGAACAGTAGTGGTGGTTGTGTTCTAGGACTAACATGGAGTTTTATTGCAGTACCCAGAACTAGTGACCAGTAGGGAGGCTTACTGTGCAGTTTATTGTTGGCCATTCATTCCAGGTAATTATGTTAAATGTCAGAAATTTATGTTGTCAGTTATTTTCAGTTAAGTTGTCAGTTTGCTGTATTCGCCAGTCTGTCAGGTGTTTGTTCCCTGTTTCTATAACGACATGACGTGGCCAGTTCGAGGTTAACTGTTAAATAGTTTATTAGTTAAATTTGACTGATGTCTATGTTTATTTTTCAGATTTTTTTTTATTTACAAGAGAAAGACCAGTTTGTATGATATTTATTTGAAAGATGTATTATCAATCAAAATTCACTTTACAATCACCTGTTAGAAAAATGTGTTGTTGGACCCGATTGTAGTGATTATTTGTAGGACACAGTGTGTTCAGCTCTCTACTGGGTACCAGAACTAGTGGACCAGTCGGGAGGCTCACTGTGCTGTTTATTGTTGGGCATTCATTACAGAAATTCAACCAACTGGCCTCCACAGTGTGCTGTATGTGGAGGAAGAAGTCACATTTACATATTTTCATGGGAATGCATCTACCAAGATAATAGGGATAAATAATAATCATACATAAAATTAGACTCAAACCGCTAGTTTTCACACAGACGTCCACGATGGACGTCTGTGTGAATGGACCATCACACCAGATACTGTCTGGAGATAACAAGTAGAGGAAGAGGACGGAGCGTTTTGGAGCAGCTCAGCCTCTCCACACTTGAATCTGATAGAGAATTTGTGAAGGCAGCTGAAGATTAAGGGATGGAGGATTCTATTTTTTATTCATAACTGCATTACAACTAACAGGAAGAAGCTTCAGCGTAATTAAATATGTGTGTTTGTTTTTCAATTTAAGTTCCAAATATTTGTTCAATGTGTTATTTACATACTGCTTCAGTGTTAATTTAGAAGAAGCACTGTTTGTCTTTTCATTGTTTTGTTTATTTGAAAAACCTGAAGTGGAGGTTCATCTTTAATACTTTTATAATAAGATTATTTAGTGTTTTTTTTACAGCCACTGAGCATCTTTTTGCCTATAGTTAATTAAAAAGGTGTTTTGCAATTATTTGCTTTTATGTAATAATTTTCCGATGTTAGTGATAAGTTATAGCTCATTCTGTTAAAATCTAATAAGGCAGATGTAATATTTCAGGAAATTGAACAAAGGTCCCCACTATACACTATACAGCTACAAATAGTGTAAAATATTTTTTCTGGATTTTTAGAACCACTAGAAAGGCTTGTCCCCGAATTCGATGAAAAAAGTAGTAGTCCCCGTGATCGACGGAAACACGTATGTGTGTGTGGGTGTGTGTGCGTGTGTGTGGGTGTGTGTGTGTGTGTGTGTGTGTGTGTGTGTGTGTGCGTGTGTGTGTGTGTGTGTGTGTGTGTGTGTGTGTGTGTGTGTGTGTGTGTGTGTGTGCGTATTTGTGGGTGTGTGTGCATGTGTGTTAATGATTGACCCAATCAGGACTGATTGGAGCCAATAAACCTGTTTGGGTTAAAAAGTAAAGTGAGTCGCCTCAAGTGTTGTTGTTGAAGTGAAGAGAAGTGAGTCCTGTTGTTGAATTCCAATGTCTGTCTGAGAGTTTTTTATTATTAGATCAGTGTGGTGGATATTGTTTGAACTAAATACAATATGTTGGTTTTCAGTTCTTTAAGTAAAACTCAGAATGTCTTTTAAAACACACGTTTCTTTTATTTATTTATTTTTTTGTTTAACATCAGTAACAAATCACAACACAGAAAGACTTGAAGACAAACATGTACTTGGTTCTTGGCTTTTCTACTCTTATGTTTTTACGTGGCGCCCTCTTGTGGACGCAATCTCAATATCTGATTGTTTTTGTGTCTTTCAATACTAATGATCTTCAGTCTCTCAGGCTAACATGGCAGCAATAACTGACCTGCTTTACTTTATTAATTTTGAAATAACAACATACTGTTCGAATGCCAAATTTAAAATAAAATTTGGGGACTATGCACAAATTTTAACCCCAAATCTGATACTTTTATTTGTTAGACTTTTTATATGTGCTCACATTTTGGTGTATTGTTATGTCACCTGGATATATGTCTTTGTAAAAATACATGTGTGAAAAAAAATCTGTATTTTCATAATAAATTTTTAATAATGCGACCATCAAGTTGCAATAATACAAGATTAACATCATTATCAAGTGAGATATTGATATTGAAAAATAACTCCTACAGTAAAACTAATTTGGGCATCTTGTCAAGTAATAATTTAGTATTATCAATATTATAATAAATATGTATCAAATTATGATCAGCAGACAGAACCTGAAGCAATTGTGCAAATGAATGTGTTCATTTCAAAGACAGAACTGCTGAGACTCTGGTCACATCAGAGCTAACTATATCAAAGCTTGTTTTTTTTTTATTTTATCTCTTCTAATGTTGCATCTTAATTCTGATAAGATTATGACTTTATTCTTGTAATATATTTGAAATATCCTCTTTGACTGGCCCTAATGCTTTGTTGTCGAATTGTATCATGGCAAAAACTACCTTTAAATTTCTCCAAAATGTCATCAATGTCCCAAACTGTACATTTAGAAATATGGAGGAATGAATTAACACTCTGCAATCTAAAAATAACTTTGAAATTGTGCTCAGTAACAGTTCAAGGAAAACTTACTGCTTGCATTACCAGTAAAACCTGAAGCACCAGTAACTGTGTTAACCTCTCATCTGCTGATTTCAACACAAATCCAGTAAGTAGTTTTTTTTTTCTGTTCCACTAAATTTTGACTGAATTGTTTTTCACTGTGAATTTGTAATATGAGAAACAACACAGAGACGGCAGGCATGAAATCGCACCAAAAAACATTTTTTTATTCTATAAAAGAAGAAGAAAGGGAAGAAAGGGGGTCAAAAATAATCACAACTGTACAGGGAGAAAGCGACTTTTAAACACCATGAGTCACAGTATCAAAAAGCTCATGTTTTCCGCACTGATCTTTACACTTTTGTTCTGTACAAATAAAAATAGAAATCAAGAGAAACTAAGAGATAATTGTATTATCATGATAACTGCATTGCACTGAGTAAATACACTACTGGCCCATAAGTTACTGCATTCAAATAGAAAATACCTAAAAGTTCTGGGTTTTGCAGGAGAAATGATTCACGGTGGGTCGAGGCACGCGCACACAGACGGACACGGGCAGTGACGTCTCAGCAGGGGTCAAACTCTTAAAATATGTTTCACAGATGAACATTCCTGTTTGTGTACATTTAAAAAGGATGACAAAAAACCTCTGAAGGAATACTGAATAACAAAAGATTTGATAAAGAATAAACAATCAGAACAGGAAAGTTAAGTATATAGAAACATGAAAAAGTATTTGCTCTCTTACAGATTTATTTTCGTTTAACTTTAAGGGTTTCATCTCATTAAATGCATTTTAATATCCTGAAAGAATTTGTTCCATACTTTTTATAACAAGATGATCAGCATTTTTTGGAAAGGTCAATTTAAATTTTTAATTTGATGTGATCAAATCAGACCTGGAGAATCAAGAACCCGCCAGACAGCATGAAGTAGGCTAAACGTTCTCAAAAAGCAACATATCATGCCCTGAATTATAATTAAAAGGACCACAATTCTTCCACAGTCTCATAAAAGGCTCATTACTAATTGTTGCAAATATGTAGAGACAATTATTTGATTTAGGGAGCGATTCCTTTTTCATGCAGTGCCTATCTCAAATTAAATCATCATCTGAAAACAGCGTTTTATATTTTCTCTGGTCATTTTTGTCTGATGATAAAACTCGTTTGTTGATGTGAAATATTTAGTTTGTGAGGGAGCAAATACATTTTCACATTGTTTCACACTGGACATTTTACCTTCCAAATCCCACACTAACACTCTGTGTCCGAGTCGTCATGACGAGGCGTTTACATCCCGGCTGACTCTCCTCACTGTGACGCTATAGATGTAAAGTGTTTTTGCTCATGAAAGCTTCTGTGATTTCTTGTGCTTGTTAAGTATTTTTCCTAAAGTGCCATTCTCTAAAATGACGGGACTTGAGATCTGGGGTGAAGGATAAAAACACTTTAAATGAACAGCTTGCTTGTTTTCTCACAGGATTCACTTCTAGTTTGTTCTCTCTGACTGTGATACGTTTCCCTCAGCCAAAACAGATTTGATTTAAAATGTTTCTACAAACATTTCATCTGGATGCTCCACGATACTGCTGAAATAACAATCATAATAGTTTCAAGGATCCATTTTGGGTGGCTTTACTAAGTCATAAACCAGATCCGGTGGGGTCACAGCAGCATAAAATGCATCTTCCTGGAGAGTCTATAAAATGTTAAAGTCATTATCCAAATTCTTAAAGAGATATACAGTCTGTGGAAACCCTGAGGAAAACTCAAAAATGTCATTATTCTCTGGCGCTTAAAGAAAAGTCTATTTTTTTCTCAGAAGCTGGGAGTCAGAGCCAGAACTGACATTGTTGGATGCATTCAGTTTGTAAAACAATACAGGACGGAAGTAGCTCAATCAGCAGCACAAGCAGATCAAAAATACAAGTTTCTGCCTTGAAAACAGGACAACAGAACGTACTCTGATTAATTTATGTGCTGCTGATTCAACCAGCTGCAAAATAACACAATTCACCTCTGAGCAGTCTGGAGCAACCAGGTGTGGTTTCCAACTTTCAGATTATTTTGCAGCTCTGTAGAAATGTTCAGTAATGTTCAGTCCCAACAAAAACATTGGATTATCAATTTGAGTTTTTTACATCTACTCCTTGAACAGATTTGAAAATACTTAAAAAGAAAGAAATCAACTTTTAAATTGGCATAATTCATATTCTTGCTGGAATGCTAACATCATGCAGCGTCTAGTGGCCTTCAAAGAAGTTTTTAACCTCAGGAAGTCCACCTCTCAAAAAAATACTGATTGTTTTGTTTGACTTTTTGGTTTGTGTGGCAAATGTCTATTGACTTCTTTTGCTCCAATGAGTCTTTTCTTTATTAGGCAAGCAAGTGAAAAATGTTAAGCTATCTTGATTTTAAATAAGTATTTCCTGTTTCTTTTGTCTGATAAAAATAAAAAAGGTTTATAAGCATCAATTCTGCCTCTTCAACATCAGCCTCAATGTTAGGGTATTTCTTCATTAAAAAAAACTTAAAATGAAGAACAAAAATTTAATATCAAGTGCTTGATTTCTGAACTAACTAAAAAAGAAGTCATTTAGCTTTAGCAGTCAGGTCTAGGGATGTATTCATATTTTTCTATAAATAATGCTCAAATTTGGAGGATTTTTCACTTTAACGTAAGAGAAAACCCCACATAAATGTGAATTAATAAGCCAAAATGTTAAAGCACCTCACATTTGTTCCATACAAGCTAGTATTGCTCGCATTATAACTCCAATAGCTTCTAGAAATCTAGAAATGTGCTTTCTCATTATTCTCAGTGGAGCTTATGAAACTCTCTGACATTAAACGAAATTGGTTGACAAATATTAAAACAGGAAAAATAGCACTTGTTATCCTAATCAACCTATAAATGCAATTAGCTTGTGTGCTTGTATATTATGTACCATCTTAATGAATTAGCTCCGTCCTGTGTTTGCTGGTCAGGGCTGGTAATATTCCTTTAAGTTTAGTAAAAAAATTTTCTCGTAGACATTGCTTCTTCGTTGATAGCGTCTCTCACATTTAGATTATGGCATTTGTATGTCCAACTGTAGCTAATAAATTGAAAAACATAATTTGTCATTTTAGAGCATTTGTATAGTTTAGCTTTACGAAATTACATAAATTTCATTAATTAATTGGTAAAGTGCTGGAAATGTCAGCTTTTGTGCCTTTGTGAATCTGTTTCTTCAATATTTAGCTTCTTTAGTTTGCTTTTTCATCCTTTATGCATTTCAAGCTTTGGGATCAACCCACACATGAAGTTGGAAAAACACATATCAAACAAGAAAATTTGAATTTTGAACCTTTGATATTACCAATTAGTGTTGCATTTGAGTGAATTAGCTACCCTGCTTAGTAGAATGAGACTTGTAATCACTTCAACGTCTCGAGATTAAACGATATATTTAGAGATATTTTTAAACTAAGAAAAATAAAATGTAAAACTTTTAGATTAAAAGCTGAAATGTTCAAAGCATCACAAGCTAGTATTGCTCCGTTTGCCTCAACAAAACATTTAGCCATGAGATAATTGATTTTGTATTTTGTTTGAGTTTTATGGTGACATTAATATCTAAACCCAGATTGAAAAAACATGTTATAAAGAAACATAGTTCACAATTGTTACTTCTAAGTTTATGTAGCGTCAAAGTTAAAGATCGTTTTGCTTGTAAGGCTGAACTCTTTCTGTGGTCATGTATTTTGTTTGCATAAAATAGAATGTATTCATATGTTAGAATCTTTTATGTTCTATTTGGGAACTTTTCAAACTTTCTACAAAAGTAAAAAATGTGAAGCTCGCTTCTGATTTGACCCCAGTGAGTCTGTTTCTGTTGACCGCACCTGAAGCTCAGATGACCTTACCGACAACATCCGAGTGCTTTTTGTGTGACAGAATTCAAATCAGGTCCAGTGATAAAACATTAAGCTCTTTCACTATTGAAAAATAAAAACCCTGTTCGTCTTTTTTAACAAAAATCCTCACCCCACCCAAACTGTCTCACACGCACTTACATGCTCACCAACGTCACTATAAGAAAAACAAAGCTATTCTCCATGCAACACAAGTGTTCACAACACAAGTGGGACCACTTTTTAAGAAACTACGAAACAAATGCATTTTGGGGGGACAACACTCATGATGAAACATATTTTCATCAAACCAACAAAGGAAGAAAAAGAAAAACGATTTTTTTTTTTTTCACATTATCTAGTCAGTGTTAAAAATAGAAATTCACCCGTTACATTTACTCTGCACTATCTGATTATATACAGTTATGTACATGGATTTCTTTTAATTATTTGTCCTTAATGTCTTATCAACAGTTTACAAAAGAAAGAAAATTGCAATCAAATGCATAAACTCTTCTAAAAAGATGTGCTTAGTAACTTTTTCTTTTTTTTTCTTGAAGCAAGAGGGGATAATAAGAAAACTGGGACTGTTGTGTTGGTCTGCTCAAGTAAAAAGAACAATGTCCCTCCAAACAAGTGACTGAACTGAGTTAGGATTTTAAACATTTGTTTTTATGTGAAGAACTTTTCGTATTTCTTTTATCTAGCTTCCACTGATTTACAGCAAAACAAGTTAAAATCCCGACTCAGGTCCAGTGACTGTATTTGGATTGATCTTCTTTTGCAGTTTGCAGGAAAAGCAACAATCTGCCCTGGTCTCAGCATGCACTCAGCTCACAGGAAACCTGCATGTCCATTTCATTCACCAACTTTGCATTCTCACTTTCAAATTTTTTAAATAATGACAAAAATCCGTATGGTCTATAAACAGAATATCTTTTTTTTTTTTTTTTTTGCACATGAACAGACCAGAACTATAAAAGAGGTTCTTTCAATCGCCAACGAAGCCTCCATAAAAACTTAGAATCTGTTGGCTTTGCTCAACAACACAGGCTTCTATCCTGACGTTCCCACATTTTTAAGATTTTTGTGAGTTCAAACTACCAAGCTAGTGCTCTACTTACTGAGTTGAACAGAACAGCGCGTGGAGCGAGGTCTGCGTTTTGTTGCATAATCAAGTTCAGCCCAGGTCAGGGGTTGGAAACCAGCATGTTTAAGACATGTACACAGGATCAGTTCTGCTCCAAAACACCAACAGTTTGATTTATGTGCTGAACAGCACCAAAAAACAAAAACAAACAAAATAAACCCCATTAAATCCAGATTTGCTCAGTATTTTGTGGAGCACACTGTATATTTACTGAGGGGTTTGACCCTGGGGTCAAGCCTCTTGGGGCAGAAATGCTAGTGAGGAGAGCACTATAGTTTCCCCGTGGTCTGAACCCAAAGGCGTGATGGACCCTGACAGCCCGGTACAGTGCCTGTAATTTCATTGTTGACCTCTGACAGACGACCTACAGCCAAAACCTGACGTACGTCACAGGATGTTTCAACAAAGATGAACACGAGTCGCAAAATGAAGCAATTTCTGGTGCTACAAATTCACATAATTAATTTTCAAACTAATCTAGTGGAGATCCTCACATTTTCTCCCTTGTCTTTAAGGTCTTGAACACACGTAGCCGGGGCTTTATAAAAACAAATATCTCTGCCAAATCATGTGAAATAATAACATCGCGTCCACAGGATCTGTTTAATAAAGGTCTTCATCAACACGAAACTGCTGGGTTACACCACTCACCGTTGTTTTAAACATGCCAAACCCATAGGGGGCAGTGTAGGGCAAAGCTGAAATCTATGTCAGCCAATTACATCCTTCAAAACAACCACCACTTCCTGTAAGGAATAAAACATGGCACTAGAATTTGTGTGGACAGAGAGGTTGAGCTGCTTAACGAATTAATAAACGAAAATAAATTTATCTTTATCTCATAAGCAGAGCCCTTTTTTCATATTCTTTATTTTTATTTTCATTGTAACAGACCCTTTATTATATGCATTTGATTTTTTTTGCACATTCAAGAAAATAGTATTTGTACAGACTAAAAGGTGCACATTATTTTATTTTATTCATTTATGTATATATTTATTGAACTTTTTTTTTTGCTTAATTTTTTTTACATTGTGGATTTCTAGACACTAACAGCAATATTGCTGATAATTGTGGTTAATTTATGTGATATATACGTCATTATGCCTCTTTATTGTGTTGAACATCTTTCGATGTAATGTCTTTGTTTGTAATAAAAATATTTCTTTTTTGAAAGAAATCAAAACAAAGGTTGAGCTATGTTTAGTACTAGAATATAGAGCCAATGAAACACAAATCGATTTTAATGATATTAAACTGAGTTTACATGTGGATGACATCCGGCTACGTGTGGACGAGGCCTAAGAAAACCTCCAAAAGCTGCTGGATTTATGATTTATTTGATTTATTAGGTCACGGTTTGGACTGCGAACTTCGTCTCAGTGGCTCTGGTTTCGCCCTTACAGATTGACTTCAGTTATTAAGGCTCAACGGGCAAGAGGTAAAAGAACGTTGACAAATGCCCGCAATAAACACTCGTAAAAATGTTCATTTCTGATTATTTCTAGTTTTTTTTTTTGTTTGTTTTTTTTTTTTTCTCAAAACTCACCCACAGTCACACAAACGCAGGCAACTAACACACAATCTGAAAAGTCCCCCCTATTATGTTTCCCTGCATGAAGAGTTTGTCTTATTAAACAACTTGTGTTGCTCCGTCTTTTTCACAGCCTCAGAAAATCAACAAAAAGGATCTGACTTATTTATTTTTTTTGTTGTCGTTACTGTTCAGATCGGCAAACCTGGAGAAGGAATAAAACAAACTGTTCACCGAAGGCCTAGCTTTCCTTCTTCTTCTTTTTTTTTTGTAAAACACCAATAAGAACGCATACAAAGCAAATACTGTTGCCGAAGAAGGATTGGAAAGGTGTGTGTGCACGCCCGAGGGAGAGGTGGAGGGAAAACATGAACAATGTGACTGATTCACTGAAAAAAAACAAAAAACAAAAAAAAACTAATCAGTCTTTAAAAAGTTCACAGTCTTGCAGCTCCATGTACAGAGGAGAGGCGGGAAGGACCCAGACCCTGGACATGTCACTTCAGCTGCCGCAGGTGGGTTTGCAACATGGAGTCGGCGAAGTACTTTATCTATAAATATTAGAGGCTGTGTTTGCAGGAACCCCAGGAAGTCAGTTGAATTTCCTCCATTCATTAAAAAACTTGAGTAAAACATTTACTAAGATGTGACTTAAAAGATGAGAGAAACCAGATCCACCAAGGAAGGCGAGCTAAATGTCATTTATAAACCACCTTCTAGTCGCAGGCAGATCGCCGATCCATGCAAAACGACTCTGGACCAACAACTCTATAATGCGTACTTTTCAATATGCCCACATTTCACCATTTAAATCATTTTTATTATTCTAATGCAATAGTCGTAATGCTGCTAATCCTTAAAATAAATGCTAGAATTATGTTATTCTTAGTGAAATTTTTAATGCAATACAAAAATCTTTATTTTCAGCTACAATAAATTAACTTTTTTCTTGGTGCAGTTTATTGAGATGCACCAGCAAAAAGTTCCTAGTACCCCTAATTTTCCAGCATTTATGTTGCTTATTCGTATTGAAAAGAAGGGATTCAACTCAAACACTGCTCGCTCTACATCATGTCAATAATAAATTTACTAGGATGTTAGATGGCATTCTTCATGGTGAGTTGTTTGATCACACAGCTAAATCTCATGTCACAGCACAGGGCTTAAACACAAAGTCAGCATTCCTGAAAACGTTCCTGAACTCTTTGAGGAGCGACTGAACAGCTCTTCACCAACTCCAGGCTTCAACTGAATTCAGAATGAAAAAAGAAAAAAAAGGGGGGGGGGGAAAGCAACTGAAGTGACATCCAAATAACATTAGATTTTTAAAAAACACTGAACAACCTCTTTGTATCCCCTCCTCCTCCTCTCCCTTGGATGGACTCATGGATGGATGGATGAGTGAGTTTCAGTCCCATCTTTTTCTCCCAATCCTTTCAAAAACTGAGTTCTGGATTGTAGAGATAGGACTGAACTGGGCTGCACAATGAAGATAATTAATAAATCCACCATGCATAAACACATATGCACAGACACACTCCCAGTTGTCCTGTAATTTCAACATGGAGAGAAAGAGGAAGTGTTCTTGCTCCCCCTCTGCAGATTGTGTTTAGAAATCCTGGACGCAAAACGTGGAACATCGTGGAGGCTCTTGTCTAAGCGGGTGGACTCTGGGAACCCGAGAGGGTCAGAGGTCGGTTCGATGGGCTGGTTTTGGAGGGATGTTCACATCATCACGTGGCGGCGGCGGTGAAGGGACAAATGGTCAGACCGAGAGAAAGAGCGGTCGCATTCCGTACAGCGGAAAGGTTTGATTCCTGTGTGCTTGCGGAAGTGTCGGGTGAGCTCGTCGGAGCGGGCGAAGCGCCAGGTGCAGCCCTCCCAAGTACAGTGGTACGGCTTCTCTCCTAGAAATAAACACAAAAATCATTGTTACATAAGCAGAAGCATCAGGCATCTAAACTATATGTAGTTCATACATGGACATCGCACCCAAGGGGAATGTGGATGTCTTAACATCTTCACTTTTTCTCCAGTTTTGCTCATAAACCGACTCTGGGAGTGCAGTGAGACAAATGTCTAACAATAATTAATGGTGTGTGCGTTTAAATCACACAAACTCGACACATTCTGTCACAAATCTGATAAATCCTGGCTCCTGTGCTCCTCATGTATGGAAATCCAGGGGGGGCAAAAGAGATGCAGCATTTTTAGTTTTTCTCATGCAAAGTATGTCTTTTAACGTGCACACAACTGTGTTCTCAACTTAAAGGCTACCACAATTTTTGTCTAATAAGCGGTATTTGTTGGATGGAAAAAGAAGAAATCACTACAAACAAAAAACAAAATGCAGCAATTTTGTGGATATGTGGTTAAGCATACAAATATGTTTACTTTTTGCATTTCCAGGAGTATTTCAATGAGTAACATATGAAAATATTTAAGTTTAACATTTGATTTTTATTTCTTCAGATAAATCCAGTCAAAGTAGCTCAAGCCCTTCTTCAGTTACTCACTTGCTTTAAATCGTTCACACAGAAGTCTGATTGCGGTCGCGTTTAATTATTATTGAGAGCGAACATGCAAAAAGAAAAACAATTCAAACTTCAGGCAAACAGAATGCCATTACTGTCAAAGGCAAAAATGTTGTTTTTGGATGTTTTTGTTTAGAAGGACGGATGTTTTTGGTGACATGTGAGCTGGTTGCTTTCCTTTTACCTGTGTGTATCCTCCTGTGGGCTTTGAGGTGAGAGCTCTTGGTATAAACTTTTTTACAGCCTTCATAGTCACACATGTGGATCCGCCGCCTCTTTAGGTCTAGTGTATCGGGATCGACAGGTTCCAAATCTATAACTGACCTGGGACAGAAAGATGCAAGTAGGACTTAGTGATGCTGGACAGTGAAAATACAATACAATTTTTTTTATTATTATTTCGTCTTTTTAAAACAAAAATTCATATCAATGTATTACAGCAGTCCTGGTTTATGGAAGCTATTCCAGCAGGTTTGAAATCTCATATCAACCTCAGGGAGCCCATATCCAATATCCCAGGTTTCCAGAGTTATTTATTGGCAAGTCAGACCCGTTCCTGAGTATTAAAACTGGAAATAAACATATTAGAGAAATAATCCAGAGGAATACTATTTGCAAACCTGCTTCAATCTTTTTTCTTGAACAATCTTTATTCAGATATTGATTGGGAACAAAAATGATTATTGCCAAGAAAGTTTTTGTCTCAAATAAAGTTCGGGAGGCTTCAGCTCAAGCTTTGATTGTTCAGTAAATTCTACGTCTCTGTGAAGGCTTTTCTTTGAATATTTAAATGGATCTCCAAGTCCATTTTACAAAGAGGTGTGACGGCAAACTGCATTACATTACCCTTGAAGTTCAGTTGAGCTCATCGGTGTAGCTTAGAGAATTCCCTTTGAGTTTTCTCCAAAAACGCTGATTTTACTAGTTAAGAGGGAAAAGATTCTTGTTGTCGTTTTTCTAAAATCCAAGTTGGCATCAGTTCTGTGAATATGAATAACATTGTAGTTTCATCCTTACCCAGCAGGTGGTGTCACACATTCACTCTCCAACAGCTTCTCAAGACAACCAACTGTATTTTACCATTAACCTTTCTGTCTTTGTCATGTATTCAGATCATTCCATTTATTCTTTTCTGACTGGCGCTGAAACGGGAACTATCTCTTCTTAATTTCACTCTGATCTACTTTTCTCTTTTCTGCTTAAGTATCTGATTTATAAAGCTTTCAGTAATTTAAATGTCTCAGAAGATTTTGTATTTTTGGGGGGTGGGGGTAATGAATGGTATTGAGAAACAAAAAAAAAAAAAAAAAAATCAATGATCTCCTAGTCCATTTTACAAAGAGGTGTGACAGCAAACTGCATTACGTAACCCTTGTTTACACCCCGGTTCTGGGACAGCCCTGCCCAGCAACACACAGTCACACAAGCAATCTCTTTTTTTTTTCCTCTCACACAGACACACAAACGCACAACTGTCCAAATAATCTTCCTTATAAATATAAAATACCCCACAAATGCGCTGAGTTTTTACAAGGCAGTCTCTCCGTCATGCACACACGTAGATTACAGAACTGAACAAACCATCAGTGTCCACACCCTGGAAATACTGTTAAGTAACAGCACCACGCCCATGCAGGTGTGGCAGAAACTCTGTGCTGATCTTCTAATGAACCCACTGGACACTAACACACACACACACACGCACACACAAAGAGAGAGAGAGAGAGAGAGAGAGAGAGAGAGAGAGAGAGAGAAGTGATTCTGCAACATCTCAGACTTCTTTTTATGAAGCATGCAGACTGCACCTCCAGTCTTTCAGCACACTTTCTCTTCCTGTCTTGCAGCCTGGGTGTCTCCAGTGTGTTCAGCTGTATGGTGGGTTATATAAGGTTATATAAGCATCCAGTCATGGCTTCGCTGCAGTAATGTAATTAGTCAGGAGCCTGCAGGCGAAGGAGGTGACCCACGCAAAGACTGAATTTCTCACAAACCCTGCTGCACATTGCATTCTCTTTCTGACCCTGCTGGCTTGTAGTATGGCTTCTAGTCAGCTGATGTTGCATTAATGGCATATCAACAGCTTCAGCAACTTATAAAGAAATACTGCACCTTGCACAGTTAATCATGTTTTAATGGTTAGCTTCATCGCTGATAATTGGGGGGAGAAAAAAGTCATTAGTTGGTTAAGCTGTGCAGGAAAACTTACATTTGACCATTTGGTGTTTATTTCAGCAGATAGAATCGATCAAGTTTGTTAAACAGGTTATCTTGAAAATCAAGACAAAAGCAAAAAATAAAATGGGCTTAAAGATCATTTTGAGAATGACTTGCAAAAAGACAGTGTTTCGAAAACTTCCACTTCTCATTAATGTTGCGAATATGGTAAGTGCAAAGCTAACCAGTAGGGAGCGACTCCAGTGGCTGCAAACACATGCTAACAGATCAGCCAGAATTTGGGTTTTTTATGTGTGGGGGCTGAGGGAGGTCTAGATCCTGGTTAAACACAGACATTTTTCTCAGTATATGATGGTCAACAGAAGAGCTTAAGGTAGGCCCATAGCATGACCCCTCCACCACCATGCTTGACAGACCGACATGTTTCTGCTGATGTGCTTTGTGTGCGTTTCTTCAAACAAGGAGCTGTACATTATGACCAGACATTTCTGCTATGGTGTGATATAGCAGAAATGGAACTGCACACTGTTCCATAAGTTTCTCGTTTCATGTAAATGCAACTTTGCAAATCTTTTCAAACAAAATAAAAACAGAGTTCTACCGTCTTCTATTAATTGTAATGAACTTTGACATTTAACAGGATATACAGAGTGCTGTTGTTTCATTTGCCATGTCTGATACTGAGGAAAATTTGTTGAGGAATGATGGATGGTCGGGCGGATGAACGATGGATGGATGGATGGACGGACGGACGGATGAACGATGGATGGATGGATGGATGGACAGACGGATGAACGATGGATGGATGGATGGACGGACGGACGGATGAACGATGGATGGATGGATGGATGGACAGACGGATGGATGGATGGACGAAAGGATGGACGAATGGATGTGTGGACGGATGGACGGACGGACGGATGGATACTCTTACCCTGCATCGATGCTCTGGGCGCTTAGGGAAGCCGATCCGGAGTGACCGCTCTCTGCGTCGCTGTCACTCTGATACTCCACTGGAGACGTCGAGCCCGGCTTGATGCGAACTGCAGGAGAGGAGAAGACGATAGAAAACATAAATCAGTTGTTTAAACAGATGAATGGAACCGTGGAGACAGTGGAAGGTGGAAAAACGGTGGGGATGGGTGGAAAGCAGAGAGTAGAACAGCAGGGGGTTAATTGGAGAATTACAATGTCAGGATTTAGGCAACTTGGCAAGACAAAGACTGTCTGAGTCTGAGTGCATATCAGAGGGTGTGGCCTGCTAAGCTGCAGCATTAATGGAAATCTCATATTGGAATTCACTGTATCTTTATCCCTACATTTTACAGTTTATTTTCAAACGTATTCAAGCTAAAGGAAACTCTTCCTGAAGCATCCTCTTTACTCCCAGAAGCTAATTAGTAATTGAGTGAAAGATAAATCTCTGTGCTGGCTTTCCTGGAGCCTTGGCAAACTGCTAAACTCCTCACAGATGCCTGTTTATCGTGAAGTCAGGAGGCTGTTTGTTTTTCAGCTGTGATCTCCTGATAGTCCAGAGGCGTGGCGAGACTTGTTCAGTTTCTCTGCATTCACAGAGATGAAAATTATTGAAAATGATGTCAGAATCGGTTCTTCTATGTGAAAATAATGACCTCTCATTTCTTAGGTTTTAAAGTCTGTGGTGATTTTTAAGAAAATAAGAAAGGAGTATGAGGCTCCAACTGGTGAAGAATCCACAGAACATGGCTGCAAACATTTAGAGATCTGAGCCAGATCTATAAACTGACTTGCAGCTCGTCAGCTTGTTTCAGCTAAAGCTCTGTGAAACCACAGTGTATTGATTGTTCAAAACCAAACATGTATGAGCAAATAATTTCATATTTAAATCTGAAATTTAGCTTCCTAGGCAAACAAATGTACAGTTAGCCAGCCACAACCCATCATCACAAGATGACTGTAGTTATCCGCGTTGTGCATTTTCTTTTACACTTTTTCCTTCCACTCAGCTTTCCATTTACATCCACATACACAAGTCTATAACCAGCCAACATCTTTAGGAACATCTAATGGGGCACTAAAATGTTAGTGCTGTTAATGCTAAAGCATTATCATAAACATTAGTTCTGCTAAAACTATGCATTTAATTTGATCTTATAATTTACATGTTTTATAATCCCTCTAGACACTTTTTTAACATTTATGTCTTGATCTCTATTATCCATATTTTCTTTCTTTTATGTTTCTTGAAAAAGAGCGGGAGTGTAAACAGTCTTCACACACTTCAAAATAAAAGCATGAATAGAAACATTTAATGAGTTGAAGAAATCTTAACAGTTGAAAAAGATGTTGAATTTTATTCAGCTGAAATAAAGTTACAGCCAAGTAAATCAGTGCATTAGAATATGTCTGGGAAATCTATTTTAGGGGAAGCTAACTGTGCTAAAAATTTTCAACATTAGTGAAAGGGCTGAACAAAAAAAAAAACAGCTTGGTATTTAGCCACTAGAAATATCCTTTGGTGGCTTATTGACCTTGAAAGAAATGTCTGTGATTGTCTGCTAGAAACCTTTCAGGACAGCTGCCTTCATCATGATTGAGTAGGCAATCATGATGGTGTTTTTTTTTTTTTTTTTTTTCAGTTTCCAAGTTTCACTTTTGAACACTGACACTGAAAAAATATACTTAGTAATAATAATATTGCCATTTCCTGAGACAATCTTGTTTGTGGGTCAGGCTTTTTGTGTGAGACTCCTTTCAAGGACTTAAAAACACCCAATCATCAGAAACAATTGGACACGTTGTTCGCAGGTTTCTGTCCAATCGCAATCAGTTCAAATTAAATAAAACATCTAGTACCCATTTAGGTCCCATTTACTGCCCAGATTTGTCCTGAAATAATTATTTTTGCAATTACGCAACACGGAGACAATCCTATCTGGCGCCCATATGTAAATGTTGGCTGGTTTCTTAGCCATCACACAATACCTTCGTGTAGCTGTCTTATATGACTTTTTAGAAATCTGGTGTTGTTGTTTTTTACTTTTATGGACCTTGTTGCGCAGCATTATCTGATGTATTTAACAGTTTCTGCATTGCTTTGCTTTGAGTTATTTGTTTTATTCAGTCTTAATACTTTTGAAAAGATCAAGCAGGAATGAAGAAAGTAAACACTTTTTTCCCATAAGATTGTCACTTTATATTTGATAATACAGTGAATGGAGACAGAAGTGACCTCCCCCTCGTCTGCTATCTGCAGGAATGTGGGACCCAACAGTTCAAAGTCTACCAGCCTGAAGAGAGCAGTAAGGGGTGGGGAGGTCTGAGGGTGATGCAAGGAATTTGGGTGGAGTATATGCATGACACACACCAAGAAAAGACTTGCTTTTTGTCTCTTGAGACCATCAGGCTCCCCCCCAGTCCTCTGGTTGCTGCAGCTTTTCTTTTTCAAAGGCAGAGAAAGAAACAACCCATCTTGTCTCCCGTCCAGCCCCCAGAGCCGCTCCCCTCTCCTTCACATCCTTCCTGCCGGACCCTCCCAACTCATAGAGTCGTGGAGCCCGCTTTCTCTCTGCGCCTTTCCAACCGACTTTAAATCTCGTTTGCCTCCCACACACCACCGCGGCGCACGAAGCGTCATCTGCCTGCAGTTTGCTCGCTGTGCAGCCACACAAGGCTGAACAAAACGTCAAAAAGTGTTATCTGTGCGCTGCACATTTTACTTCCAGTGCTTCCAAAAAATGTGGACAGAAATCAAAATATGTGACACAGAATCCACCTGGCCTGATGAACCACACCAACACTGGAAGAAAAAATTAAGCAGGGGCCTTTCAAATTCTTAAAATCTATCTAAATGTAGACATTCAATGACATGGAGAATCAGGGGAAATCATCAAAAATGTAACTTGTGTCGTCCTTACAGCAAAACCTGTATTTTGGAATAATTCCACAGGTATCTGGAAAGGTGCTCTTGTAGAGCATTATCAGGTTTTCAGGCTGCTAATCTGATCTAATCTCTAAGAATGAAGTCTTTAAGTAATCTGATTAGTTATAACAATAGGCGTGAATACAATATATACAATTTATAAAATTAAATAAAATACTACCCCACGGATGTAAACGGGTGTCTATGCTGCCATCCATCCCTAGTAGATGGCATATCCTAAGTGCTACAGTGCTAGGTCTGTCATTTCTGTTCAATGACTAACCTTTAGCACTTTCAATTTGAACCAGAGTGCATTGAAATAGAATGCAAAGCAAAAATGACAAGGGGAAATGAAGATGAGGAGAATCAAATGGTTGAAGATGAGAGAGTTGGCTGAAAAAGCTGGTGTTTGGAAACGTCAGCCGGAAAAGAGACTGTATGATTTCAAGAGCTCCAATTTCTAACTCAGAAAGGATGAAAACATTTGTTGAATATATTAAAATGGTAAGTTGCAAAGGGTTCAAGATGCTTTATTGCCTCTTTAAGCATTGAGTTAAGTTAGTTTGTTTTGGTTTTGTTTTAGTTTCCACTAACCATGTTAGCTCCTGCTACTGGTGTTAGCTTCTACTGATATTAGATCTAGCTAATATAGTAGTAGATCAAGCTGATGACGTTCATTCATTTCAACAGATATCAGGTGTATAGAAGTTTATAGAGTCTAGTCTTCCAAAACATGCCCACCTCATCATCACGGCATGCACTGCTCAGATGAAAAATGGCAATCTCCAAAGGCAAAAGATATAATAAAGTTGTACAGTTTTTTTTTCCTTTGAGTAACTATGAGTTTTTACGTTTCACAAGTCTAATAGGAAAATGACAACATAAATAAGCCGATAAGTTCACTTTGGCTTAAAATGGCTCATTAAATACAATGTTTCAGTTAATCCTGATTCTCTTCACTCTTAAATATTTCCAGTGATTTGGCTTAGAAAAGGAAGATATTTTTTAGCAGATGAATTAATTAATCATCAGAATTATAATAATTGATTACTAAAACAATCAATAGTTACAGCTTTACGTTTGTATGAATGGTTTTGTATTAACAAGATTGGCTTCCCATATAAACAGTAAAGTTTCAAACAGAAGCTCTACTTTTGTCACAAGTGAAAAACTGTTTTAACCGCTTGAGAAATTCTGACCTGACATTTTTAAAAGTCGCTGCTGGGAACTGGGAGGAAGTAAGAGGGCTTGTTTGAGACATGGAAGTAAAAAAAATAGGAAGAAGGAAAAAGGATTATAAATCGGAACGCTGCAGCTCCTGGCATGTACTGAACGTCACAGGCTGCTGAGGACAAACAGTCTGAGAGCATCTTCAGGCCGGTCACAGCGCCGCAGAGACTTGTGGAAATTTTCCAGAGTTACTGCCTCCGTCGTTTACATTCCTGAGTCGAGGCCATGCTGGTTTGAATTAGAAACCAAGGTGAAGCAAACAGGGACTTTAAAAAGTTGGTCAAAGAGGTGAAGGCAGGTCGTCGCCCAGAGTTTACCCAAGGATGGGCGACTCTTCCTTCAACCTCATCCTCACTCCACTCTGATGAGATTAGCGGCACATCAGCAGTGTGCACACATTACATCATTACAATCTGACTCTTTTGAAAGTGGTTATGTCTTGAATTTCAGGCAACAAAAGATTTGACAACATAATATCCAAAAGGTTTTCCAAAAACTATCATTCATCTGTTACAAACAAAGATCTTAACTCCAGCTTTCAGGACAGGTAATGCAGGGTGAAGAACTGTCTCTATATGCTTCATACAGTAGAAAGAGGCAATCAAATTAAGTCAATCAGGTGTGAAAACATCCTAAAACAGTGTTTTATCTACAGCTGCTAACAATGTTTTATACAGCCTTAGAAGAGTGAGATGAAGTCAAAACATCTCAGCTATTGCTACAAACCAGGACACTGCAATGAATTTATCTTCACACATTTTTGTGGTTTAACCCAACTTTAAGATCAAGGTTAATTAAAACTTTGAGGTTTGGGTAGAGTCTCTAAAAGCACAACAACCTGCTCACCTGATCCTTCTGAGCGCCCGTCGCTGCCTATCAGTGGCACTGTGATGGCTGCCGTTGCGACGCCGTCTGTGGGCATGGTGGTGTAAACTACAGGAAGTGACTGCACCACCACAGGGATGGTCTGCAGTTGGCCCACCTTACTCGGCATGCTGACCGAAGGGATTGTATGGATGACGTGGAGAATCTGCTGTCCTCCGGCTCCTTGTGTTGCTAGGATAGAACCTGGAGAGAGGACCTGGCCGGAGAACATGACGGAGTCAGAAATCTTGCTGTGTGTCTTATTATGAATCAACGGAGGAGTTTGTGCTTACCATGGAGCCTATGGATTGTACCGTGGAGGGAACGGGTGTGGCTGACAGGCCGGGCTGGGAGGTGGCGCTGCTGGGCGCCGGGTTGACTGTGGAGCTCGTTGTGGAAGCAGAGCGAGGCTTGTTGAGCGACAGGTCGACGGGTTCGGTCTGGTCCTCAGCGGGACTGGAGTGAGGCGAAGACGGCTCCGCCTTGACCTCTGACTTCATCTTCAGGTCTGTCGGTTGGGAGCAGTCATCACCTACATCCGCCTGTCGGGGAAAAAAAGGAGGGAAAGAGCTACGTTAGACTCAAACAACAAGCTGTTTACACATTACACATATCATATGTCATACAGCATTAAATAATAGATTATATTACTAATGTGAATCACAACAAATCAATACAATAATGACTTTATAGCTTTTTTCCCAAGAAAATGTGGCCTTTCACATACTGTAAAAGGTTTATGTTTTTCTTTGTTTTAAAACCAGAAATGCTGAGAAATTAAAGCCTCGTTCAAATAATCATGTTTCATATGGTAGGCATTTACAAAACGTAAGTTTGTTAATCAGTGTCGTTCTGTCTTGATAAAAAGGTCTTTTACCTCATTAAGTAATCTTAACAGAAAGAGGCAAATCAAGTTTCAAGGTGCTTTATGTGATAAAAACATAACACATTGAACAAATAAACAAAACAAACAGTTCAGTGGCAAAATAAAACTACTACATTTATACTCCAGACTAGGATGTATATATTTTCCAATTATTAATTAAAACCAACATTACACAATTTTGTTTTTAGTCTTGAGTTCAAGAACTCACTGTTTCAGCAGTTTTCTGAAACGTTTGTTCCAGATTTGTGATGCATAGAAGCTGAATGCTGATTTTCAATGTCTGGGTCTGGTTCTGGGGATGCGGAGCAGACCAGAACCAGAACCAGAACCAGAAGACCTGGGAGGCCTGGAAGGTTTTTACAACAGCAGACTATGTCCACTGGCAGATTACTTCACTTATAGCAAGACATTTCCCCCTGAAAAATCTGACAGGAGAACTTGTACTTTTTATCAATATCCAATAATTATTTTGATGAAAAGTTTCTTGTTTTGAATTATTTCATTGCATATAAGAATAAGATTCATAATAAAGTGAATTTTAGTGAGGCAGACTATTTAAACTGGAAAATTGTGCAGAAATTTTGCCATCAGAAAAAGCGATATGCCTTCATAAACATGCGCCATTTAATATTCAGTCTTTTTTCCAAGCAGTGGAAGCGGGAATGCCGGCGTTGGGGATTCAATAAGCCCTCGTTCTCTGAGCCTCCTTAGAGGAATGGAGCGGCGATTCTCCTCTCCAACCACCCAGGGCTCAGCTGCCATCCAGCCCCAAAGTACAGCGAACAATGGCTGCTGTGTGGAACGCTGGGAAGAGGGGGAGGTGGATGAGAAAGTGAGACGGACAGAGACAGAAGGCTCCATGGGTATGGAGAGAGACTGGTACAGGCTGAAAGAGAGAGAGAGAGGGAGAGAGAGAGGAGAAGTGGAAGAGGGAACAGCAGTGAGCCTCCAGTCCAGGAATTGGCCTCCATCCAGTTGAGCTGAGCATAGTTTGGCTCTGGGCGAGGAGGAGAGGGTGGAGGCTCTGCTACACCCTTTTATCAGGTCATGCATTCAGCTGGAAGCTGGGCTTATAAAGGTGAACGGATTAACAAACACGTAAACATCAGCTAACCACCTGGATGTCTATGCAAATAACTAGAGTGTAATAAGGAAACTATTTGTTCTGCATGTTTGGTTGAAATTGTTACAGATTAAATTCTTTTAAAGGGATGAGTCTGTCTTCTCTTCCAGCTCCAAAGCTAAATTTGTGAATGGAGATTTAAAAGTGCTAATGACCTGCTCTTTGTGTTGGATATATTATCTGTTTTCTCTGCGGATGAACTGAGGAGGAGAGAACAAAAAGGAACAGAGAGGAAAGACAGAGGAGCTCAAAAGACAAGAGGATGAGAAAAATAGAAGTAAAAGACGAAAAGAAAGGAAAGACAGGCTGACAGGTGTATCTGAAGTGAATTCAAAATCTAAAATTGTTCAAAACTTGGCAAAGGTCTCCTGAACAGAATAGAGAAAAAGAAGAAAATAAGGAAAGGATGATCATAAGCCAAAGAAAAAGGAAAGCGATTATAACGCGATTATAGTGAGACGGTCAAAGGGAAGAAGAACGGAAACAAAATCCTGAAAAGAAAATCAAGTGTGAAAGAAGTGAGCGAGGCAGGGAAGAGAGAACGAAACAAGAGAAAGAAAGAAAGAAAGACAGAAAGGAAGGAAGGGAGGAAGACGGAGTGGGTGGGAAAGGCCCTGCCGTTTCCATGGAAACTGAGAGCCATCAGCTGACTCCATGTTTTCCGCTCGTTCCACCCACCACCAACTCCCTTCCCTTTCCCTCCCAGCCCGTTCACCTTTCCATCCTTCATTCCTCCATCTCACCCCCCTCTTCACTCTCTCTCTTTCAGGACCACACCTCTGACACCTTTCTCTCCCACACCTCCGCCTCTCCCTCCTCAGCATCCCTCACTCTTTACACCAACCACACCCTCAGTGCCTCACCCTCTCATCCCCACGCCAGCTTTCCTTTCAACCCACTCACTCACTCGTGTACTTTTTTTCCCGTTTTCCCCCTTTCCTCACGGATGCTCAGACGATTCTGAGCAGAAATCCTCAAACAAAGACTCCGAAAGGATCCGTCTCTAACAAAGAGCAGAGGATCTTTTCTGGACTCAAGATGAGATAAAAATTTGGGGGAAAAAAGGATCTTGTAGCTTTTACACGGGTTAGTTCACGAGAATCATGTGTGGAGATATTAACTGAGTTTGTGCAATTCAAATAAATGACATCGCCTTGAGAAAATATTTAAACTACTTGAACTTTTTCACAATCCGATAGTTACTGTGTGTTCTTCTCTCAGCGCATTGATAAGCTACAAAGTATGTCGCAGTAAGCGATAAATAAATTAATTGCATGATAAATTTCTACCAATAACTAGATGACAAAAGTCTTCATTCTGGTGTTTTGAACAAGTTTGTGTACAGAGACTTCATAATTCATTATATTTATTGTTTTATTTATTTTGGATATTACAAATGTTTTCCAGTTCCAGTGTTAACTGTTCTTTAGGATTTAAAGTATGTTAATGTTTGAGAATGTGTTCTTGCCATTGTCATTAGATCACTTGAATATCATTGTTTACTGTAATAACTTCTGGGACAATTTATTGTCCAGCAAACTGTGCGATGGTGAGAGGTCGATAAGTACGAAATAAATGAAATTCCACCAGACAGTCTTTAAACAGAAATGAACAAATTCAACTTTTGCTAAGAATTTTCCAAAGTCAAAGAGACTCGCATCAAATGAACTTTGTTTTAAGTCAGAATAAACTTCCCACATCGGGGTGCTCTGAGCTGAAACCCTTGACTGAGCGTGACGTGTTCCTCCTCTCCATCCGCCTGCATTCCTCAGTTCAACAGCTCTGCCGTAAAATGGGTCACCCGGTCCTCATCTTGCAATTAATTCATGCGATCCCTAACTCTGTCTGATGCGGCCGGCAGCTGTGACTGCGGCGGCGGAGGAACGCACTGCCTCGGTGTCCGCAGGACTTTAATCATCTTGTACTTGGGGCCGCACCTTTGATACCAGTAATGAGTGATTTACGGGGGGGCAATAAAGCTCAGCTGTCAGCTGAGCCCACAGAGGACGGCTGACACATGGAAGACGTATGACTGCGTTTAATGCATGTGAACAAGGAGGAGGTATTCAGAGCTGGCAGTGGCTTTAAATGACGTTTTAACCATGTGTGTGTGTGTGTGTGAAGGTGTGTGTGCGTGTGTGTGTGTGTTTGGTTTTAGTGATGTGACTGTAAGCATTTAACAGAGAGAAACTGGCCAGGTTAGAGGAGGTCAACTAACAGATGGTGAACGGTTCGTGCAGTTTACTGGGATGTGGGATTTTTAAGTGTCATTTCAAGGTAACAAATGAACACATGATTATGTAATTCTGGAGCACTTGGGTAAATAATTATTTAAATAAATAATTAAATAATTATTGAACCAACTGAGCACAGAATGATTCCCACAAACCTGATAAAGGCAGCTTGATTATTTATTCTGATGCTGCTGCTGTTGTGATCTTTGTTAGACGACATGGAGTCAAGATGATGGTCCAGCAGAGACACATTCAGAAATACATCCATCCACCCAAACAGGCCGGGTCAAGTGTCAGCGTCCATCCATCCGTCAATCACTTTATCCATCTGTCCATCTGGCTGTCGCCCACTTTTCTGAGATCGTGTCTAGCAGGTAAACAAAGACTTCCTCCTCACCAGTGAGATTCCAATATTCTACTGAAAAACCTCCAAATGGAGGCATTAAGGAGAAAATCCAGAAAAACCATTTGAAGGTGCGCTGGTTTTTCTGCTGCTTTTACGTTTGATCATGAGGGCAGAGATGGACAGCACAATACAGACATGAAGATGGAGGGAAAAGAAACGACAGCTGACAGCATTCACACAGATGTAGCTCCATCCACTCCAACACCAATTAGCTCTAACCAGTGTTTAGGTGAGAGCATTGTGCTCTCATTTCCTGCCCTGCTGGATCCACCTGTTTCCAGACTGATCCCAGCATCAGGCCAGACTTTTTCCTGTTGCTCACTACACACCAAAAATGGAGGCTTGCTTCGGTCTGGAGTGATTTGACAGGAAAACTCTGGCAGTGTGTAGGAAAAGCTTGCTGCCAACGAATGAATTTTTAGACAATTAACATAGTCTGGTAGACTCTGTTTGACTGGAAACCAAGGTTGCAACATTTGTTATATTTTCAGCTGCTGCGGTTCGCTGCACTGTGTCAAACAAACTAAACCCTTTGAAAAACCTGCTGCCCTCCTCACCTGTGGTGGCGTTGCACCAAGAACTACTGAAGAAACTGACACAAAAATCCCTGAAGAAGACACTGAATGCAAATTTCTTCTTTTCAGGAAATGTAAACAAAAATGGAGTGGGAGCGGTCTACATCAGAACTCCGTTACGCATTCACATCTGCCCAAATGAATCGGACTAACCGTCAAACTAACCAGTAAACAGGGCTGGGTGAAAATGTTTCAATAGAACAATCTACTCAAAAGGCAGCAAAATGCTGAACTTTTGCTGTCATTTTTAACATCAGCATAACTGTATATAATTAACATTGTGTAAAAACTGTTCCTGAATTGTTGGAACAAGCCTGC